TTTACTTTTTGGCTTTATATTTACAGAGCTGATGAATATTCATAAAACGCAGGTCAAGTTAAAAAATCAGCATGATCGGGCCATTATTGTAGAAGTTATGCTGTTTTTTCACTTTTCAGCATATATGCAACACTGTTAACACATTTTAAGGAAAACCGATAGGCCTGTTGTCATGAAACTCACAGGAGTAATCAATCTTATTAAACACAGGTCAAGTTCCAAAGTCGGCATGATCGGGCCACTATTTGAGTAGTTATGCCGTTTTTTTTTTTTTTCACTTTTCAGCATGTATGCAACACTGTAAACACAATATAAGAAAAACAGATAGGCCAATTGTCATGAAACTCACAGGAGTGGTCAATCTTACTAAAACGCATTTTAGAAGTTATGCTGTTTTTTCACATTTCCTCAGATTCAATTTTTAGGCATGTTAGCAGTCTCTTTATTTAACTTATAAGATACGTAAAAGTGTTTGTTTGACATTTCCCGATCTTTACAACATTGTTAGTTGATGATGTAAAAATAATGGTAAACTTGTTATCGTGTATTGTGTAATAGAGTTTCAAAAATGGAAATGAACTCATATCATTGCAGTTTGTCAGATTCAATCATTCACTACGTTCAGAATCTCAGAATGGAGAAAATTGGACATTAAAAACTGTTCTGTTGATATTTTCCCCATCTCATCAATTGTCTTAGTAGGTCATATAAAAATGGCAGTAAACTGTTAATGCTATTTTATGTTAAAATATTGTTTAAAGTGAAAAAAAAAACATTTCAGAACATGGCATTTACAAGGTGTGACTTTGAAGTCCCATGGGTCTGAAGACCTTTGCTAGTCACATTTTCTGAATATCCATGATATTAATATTTTATTATTAAAAATTGATGGTAATTATGCTATTAAACATTATGTAATATTGCATCAAAATTGGAAGAAACCCCTATTTTAGGCACTGCTCTCATGATGACCATTTAAGAAAGAACGTCACATACTATTCTCAAACTTACAGGAAAGAAACATGGGACTAAAATATATCTTCAGTAGGCAATGCAGTCTGTTTGGTAAATTTTTCCGCAATTATGCTTTAAATTACGTTTCTTCAAATTTTGATGCAACATTACATAATGATTAATAACTGTCTTCCACTTATCATGTTAACGCTGAAAGTGCACGACGACAGCGACGGCAACGACAGAAGCAGGTGATGGCAATATGTACAGACACATCTGTGTCTGTACATAAAAATGTCACCAATTTGCCCATTTTCAGTGTAAAACAAATCTGAAAGCTAGAGTTTGGATGATTTATAAGTAACTAAGGCAGCAGCACGTCAGGAAAAACAAATCACACTGTTCGCAACCTTTGATTTTTATTTTCCAATATTTTGTTACTTATTAAGTTTTAAAGCAAAATTTAAACATGTTCACTATTCGAAGTATTGAGTATCACCTGTGCTCTCTCTGCAGCACACACATATAGAATCATATCAACATCTTGAATACACCTTTCTGGTGCTTAGAGAAAACTGGACTGAAACACAGGCTGATGAGGACTTCATTTCATATCTGTACAGGCAATTCCAGTCTCAGTACAGGCAATTCCAGTCTTTGAACAAAGCTTTGAATTGATGATTGCTACAAATTGAGTGACAATTAGGTCTCACACATTCATAGATCTGACAACAGCAACATTTTTGGGAGGGGGATTACCATGCAATTCAAACACATGGCCTTGTTTAGAAAACAATTTGTAGAATGTTAAACAATATGTTTAACAAAGTAAAATTTAGTGCAGCTTGGCTTATATATTCTCCACCAAAATGTTATCTACATTTATATAAATATAACAGTATGTTTTGGCCTAAATAAATTCATGTCACGTTGAATTTTTTTGCTTTGAAAATGAAATGATATGGCCTCTCTCCATTTTTTCTTCTTTTTTTCAACATGACTTACAAGTATACCAACTCCTGATTCGTGGCACATCATTTTTTCCTTTGTAAATCCACAATATTGTCTCTATTTGCCTTTTTCAATGTGACCTGTTACGACACGTAAAATGTAAATTTAACAATACCAAAGTTCAGAGCATATTGTAACAAGTACAAACAAGATGCTTCTGCACTATTTTTCACCCTGGTACATTTTGACAGTCCATCCTGTGCTCAAGTTTTCACTCGCTGTGTATCATGCAGCCGATTTAGCTTAAATAGAGCACATACAGGTCAAATAACAGTTCTGTTCCACATTTGCTCCACGTTTCTCACCTGTTTTGAAAATAAATGGTAAAATAAGTAGCACATCGTTGTTTAATATTGCAAATAAGTTAACAAAAGAAAAAAAAGATGAATAACAGTGCCTTATTATCCTCAAACACATTGGGGTTATTCATATCATGTTATTACAGCAAGATTAAAAGTTTGAATAGCAGCTTCAATGGGATATTTTTGTTGTGTTTTCTTTTTAATTTATTTTTCAAACATTGGCATTTTCAGCTCCCATCCACCTGAAGCTCTTCACATTTTCTGTATTTCCCCATAAGCAGTTGCATTGTTTTTTATGTCTTTAAACATTATGTAATATTATCTTATGCACTGTCATCATTATTCAAATATTGGGATTTTCATTATGTGAATTTGAACTCTCATGGTCCTGAAACTGTAATCTTATTGCAGGGGTGGATTGAGGCCGCCTTCTGGGTCTTTCAGATTTTAAAGTTCACATTGATGGGTATCTGTTTTTTCTGTTGGAAGACCATCAAAACNAGGTTGAGTTCGAAATTATATTAGAAGTTATGCTGTTTTTTCACATTTCCTCAGATTCAATTTTTAGGCATGTTAACAGTCTCTTTATTTAACTTATAAGATACGTAAAAGTGTTTGTTTGACATTTCCCGATCTTTACAACATTGTTAGTTGATTTTGTAAAAATAATGGTAAACTTGTTATCGTGTATTGTGTAATACAGTTTCAAAAATTGGAAATGAACTCATATCATTGCAGTTTGTCAGATTCAATCATTCACTATGTTCAGAATCTCAGAATGGAGAAAATTGGACATTAAAAACTGTTCTGTTGATATTTTCCCCAACTCATCAATGGTCTTAGTTGGTCATATAAAAATGGCAGTAAACTGTTAATGCTGTTTTATGTTAAAATATTGTTTAAAGTGAAAAAAAAAACATTTCAGAACATGGCATTTACAAGGTGTGACTTTAAAGTTCCATGGGTCTGAAGACCTTTGCTAGTCACATTTTCTGAATATCCATGATATTAATATTTTATCATTAAAAATTGATGGTAATTATGCTATTAAACATTATGTAATATTGCATCAAAATTTGAAGAAACCCCTATTTTGGGCACTGCTCTCATGATGACCATTTAAGAAAGAACGTCACATACTATTCTCAAACTTACAGGAAAGAAACATGGGACTAAAATATATCTTCAGTAGGCAATGCAGACTGTTTGGTAAATTTTTCTGCAATTATGCTTTAAATTACGTTTCTTCAAATTTTGATGCAACATTACATAATGATTAATAACTGTCTTACACTTATCATGTTAACGCTGAAAGTGCACGACGACAGCGACGGCAACGACAGAAGCAGGTGATGGCAATATATACAGACACATCTGTGTCTGTACATAAATATGTCACCAATTTGCCCATTTTCAGTGTAAAACAAATCTGAAAGCTAGAGTTTGGATGATTTATAAGTAACTAAGGCAGCAGCACGTCAGGAAAAACAAAACACACTGTTTGCAACCTTTGATTTTTATTTTCCAATATTTAGTTACTTATTAAGTTTTAAAGCAAAATCTAAACATGTTCACTATTTGAAGTATTGAGTATCACCTGTGCTCTCTTTGTGGCACACATATAGAATCATATCAACATCTTGAATACACCTTTCTGGTGCTTAGAGAAAACTGGACTGAAACACAGGCTGATGAGGACTTCAGTTCATATCTGTACAGGCAATTCCAGTCTTAGTACAGGCAATTCCAGTCTTTGAACAAAGCTTTGAAATGATGATTGCTACAAATCGAGTGACAATTAGGTCACGGCTAATTAGGTTGGAATCTAAGACCTGGGCTCTTCCCAAGTTTTCTTGCAAAGTAAACAATTGAAGTGCAGAAAAATAAAGTCTATAAGTATTGTCAAAACCAACCAATTTATTTATTGCAAGTAGTCATGAATGTTACTTCTTTGTCACCAAGTACTACTGACAGATATAATAGCAATGTAGTTTGTTACTACAGTTCTCCATAAATAAATACACTGTAATTTCAACACCTTTTCTGTTATAAAAAGAATATACACAAGTTCAAAACCCAAACAAAAATGTTTTACAGACAACCAAAAAAAATGAAGAAAAAAATCTAGTGGTTTTGTAAATACGACCCACGATTTAAGTTTGATTAGAACTGTAAAAAGGGGTAAGCATTTAAATTCACTTTTGTAGGAAGCTAAACCAACTGCTCCGGACAATTTTATTCTGACCTCTCGAAGAACCCCCTAAAGACATTTTCCTTGGAGTAAATGGCATTTCTGGTTTCAAACTTACCAGTATTACGCGACAATGAAAGTGAATATGCTGGTATAAAGTTACAGAGGAAGAAGGGTAGAACTTCCTGTACCACAACAGTGATGCATCACTTCTTATCTAATATTACTAGGTTATTAACACTTAAACTTGAACTCTTTTAGAGTCTTGAATAATTTACAGCCTCTCTCTCTCTCCACATTCGCTCAACTACTCTCTCACATTCATAGATCTGACAACAGCAACATTTTTGGGAGGGGGATTACCATGCAATTCAAACACATGGCCTAGTTTAGAAAACAATCTATAGAATGTTAAACAATATGTTTAACAAAGTAAAATTTGGTGCAGCTTGGCTTATATATTCTCCACCAAAATGTTATCTACATTTATATAAATATAACAGTATGTTTTGGCCTAAATAAATTCATGTCATGTTGAAATTTTTTGCTTTGAAAATGAAATGACATGGCCTCTCTCCATTTTTTCTTCTTTTTCAACATGACTTACAAGTGTACCAACTCCTGATTCGTGGCACATCATTTTTTCCTTTGTAAATCCACAATATTGTCTCTATTTGCCTTTTTCAATGTGACCCGTCACGACACGTAAAATGTAAATTTAACAATACCACAGTTCAGAGCATACTGTAACAAGTACAAACAAGATGTTTCTGCACTATTTTTCACCCTGGTACATTTTGACAGTCCATCCTGTGCTCAAGTTTTCACTCGCTGTGTATCATGCAGCCGATTTAGCTTAAATAGAGCACATACAGGTCAAATAACAGTTCTGTTCCACATTTGCTCCACGTTTCTCACCTGTTTTGAAAATAAATGGTAAAATTAAAAAGGCTAAAACATCCTGAAATTTTTGTCTTTTATTGTATCAAAAGCTTCCTTGTCACTTTTCATTCTTAAGTTAAGCAACAGAACTGAATCAGAATTCCCCTTGTCACGGGAATTTCTGAAAAACCACTTCCAGTGTGGCAGAACAATGTATTGCAGTGGAAAAGCCTCGATGTCAATGTGTCTGTGGTCTCTGATGCTCACATGTCAAATGCTGTCTTACACTTGAATAGCATCTCTAATGGCCAGTTCTAAGTAGCACATTATCCCAACTGAATTTCGAATCCAAACTTTGAGTTAATAACATTCCAAATCCCCGAAGTGACATCCAAACTTCTAGCACTTTTGAATTGGGTTTATTTCTACCCGGAAGCTTTTCTCTTGTGGGGTGACAATTTGGCTTTTTCACCTTCTTGCCCATGCTGGTGCTAAAACTATCCATTTCACTATGATACAACATTTGATGTAGCAACCAAAAAAGGCCATTTCCTTTTGATCTTGCTATTTGCATTCCACGTATCTCTCTCTAACCATTATGTTCTTCTTTGATGCAAATAAGAAACCTCAGTAAAGCCATGGCCTACACTCTGCCATATCAGACCCAGTGCTATGAAAGATGAAAAGACAGCTGTCCCTCCTGAGCAGCTATCCTCAGTTTCTCCCTCATCACCTCGATACTGGAATAGTCCGGTAGCTTGAGATAGTTGACACACGTCATCACAGAAGGCAGGAAGTGGTCAGGACTCTCGTTTGGCTCGAAGGTCTTCCTGACGATTGTCAGAGGTGGAGACAGACTCTTGAAACCTACAAGATATCAAGTTTTGTTTCAGGATGGAAAACATTGATGGTGACAACTTCATTTACTGCATAATAATAATAATAATAATTTCACAACTTCTGACTTACCTCTGTGTGTGTGTGTGTGTGTGTGTGTGTGTGTGAGAGAGAGAGAGAGAGAGAGAGAGAGAGAGAGAGAGAGATTAACAATTATTATAACAGTTTGCCATGAGACAATAACTCCGACCTACCTCCCACGGGTAACCTTGGAGAGCCAGTAACAAACTGCAGGAAGCTCCTCTGTTCCTCTGTGGTGTAAGAGCTGAGGATCTCAAACAGGTTTTTCACGGCCCTGCTGTCATGAGAGTAGCCGTGGTCTGGGCGACAGCACTCCATCAGGCTCTTCATCTCCCACAATTCCTGGCTACTGCCACAGAACAGCTGCTCCAGCTAGAGGAAAGGGAATTCTATGTATTATCAAACTCTAGAGGATCAGAGAGGTGATACAGCCTACAGAGTATATACCACCAGCTGAAGAAAAGGAACTATATGTAATACAAGACCATATAAACTTTCAACATATCAAAGACACAAGGAGAAGTCACAGTGCCAGAGAGGCTTTACTAAATGTACGGTTCTTTAGGTGCTTGAGACCCTTAAAGATCTTTTACAGACTACAAGCTTCACTAAGTGCTTCAAAGTATCCACCCCTTCTTTTTTCTTGTCATCATAAACCTTACAGGAATTCTGTGAAGTCAGTCCTGGTCCCATGTCAAATGCCAGAACAATAGAAGCCAGGCCAGTTTGTAAACATGCTAAGTAGCTGACCCCCGTTTCTGCTTTCAGTCAGTAGATTCTTAGACCCCCTTTGACTTGGAATGGGTTTAAATACATACATGACACAGGCTGACCACAGTCCACACAAACAGCAGTCACTTTCTCACTCACCTCATGTGGATAAAAACTCTGTAAATGCCTCAGTGGAAAGACAGACTCAAAGCCCTCCCTCAGTGCCTCAAACTGCCTATACACCCCCTCCACTAATGTCCAGTGAACCACCAGCTGGAAGAGAATGTTTTCAGTGTCTCTGTACTGCAGATAGTTTTTAACTTAATTAAGGAGTCCACGGTGGTCCTTTTTAACCTTACAGTTCATTTTTAAGTATGTTAGAAATTATTATATGACTTTCTGCAACATTTTTTATAGAAATGTGATCTAGGCAATAAAGTCCAACAAAATAATTAACACAAGTAACTCTAGATAAAAACTTGACTAGATTTTAGTACCTTTTTCCCTACTTTATATGCATTTTATATTGTCTGTCCTAATCCATCAACTTACATTGAGATATTCCTCTAAATTGTCCAGAGTGACCGCAGTGTCCTTGCCTCCTTTCTTGAGCTCAATGTTGGCATACCCCGGCAGTATGAAGTCCAGGCTGAGGTCCTCTATAGAGCAGCCATCTATGGTAAGGTTGTTCAGGGCCAGCTGGCGGCTCTCTGGAGTCTGAAAAAGGAGTTTCAACAGTTTGAATGTGTCCCAACTCCAACTCTCTGGAGTCTGAAACAGGAGAGTTTCAACAGTCATATAGTGTCCCAACTCCAACTCTCCTGGGGTCTGAAACAGGAGAGTTTCAACAGTCATAAAGTGTCCCAACTCCAACTCTCCTGGGGTCTGGATACCACACGAGATGTGCCAATAATAGTAACAACATGATCATACTTTTTGGTATTTTACAGCCACAACTTTCAAGAAGTTCATTTCAATTATACAAATCAACGTGCAATTTGTCAGAAGGAGCACTGTACAAACTTCCTACTGATCACAAATATTTGTTAAATAAAACTCTGTTAAATACATCAAATATATCTTTCCTAACAACTGCAACTGTTATCTCAATACAAAGCTTATTAACTGACGTACATGAGATTTATCACTCTCTATCCTTTTCTTCTGTCGGACGATATGATGCATTTGTTGGAATGACTTGTACAGGACAGTGTCCACGTGCTGTAAGTCCCTGTGATCCAGACTCTGCTCCTGGTTCAGCAGCCACTTGTAGAACACCAGGCTCAGTGGGATATCAACCTGGAACACAGAACCACAGACACTTGACATGTAGAAAAACGTATTTACACTGGTAACAAGATCTTTTTCATGTCTTGGGATTAATCAGCAACTTGGACAAAATCTGACGCAACAGATTGAAGGGCAGACATTTACATGGAGTTCATTATAGCAAATAATTAATTGTGAGAAAGGCATCTTCAGAAAGAAAGGCTAATACTTACAAACTGTAACATTCATTCAAGGAAAACTTGTGAATTAATTTATCAATTTATATGACAATGTTGAACTTTTTATCATTATTTTTTGGGGGGTGGGAGTGGGAGAAGGTGGGTGGGGAGAGAGATGGAAAAATTGAACACTTACCATTCTAGAGTCCATGAGAGCCTTGGCCATGAATTTCCCAAGGAATTTGAACTTATTTTTCACTTTAGTCACCAGACTAGCTTTGGCACTTCTTGGTAGAGGGGCAACAAACAACCCACATGGGGAATGCATGTACAGGGTCTCTTCATCACAACCTTAAAGAGAAAGAGAAATTATAATTATTCATCTATGACCCTTACTAGTGTATCACTAGTACTTCCTTGCTGTAACATCACAGTGATCTTTTTTTCAGACCTAAATCCGTATCTTTATATTTTTTTTAAATTTCCTACCCCACCCTCCTCAATCAATTACAAGCACCAAAGGCACACCTCCTTATGGGGAGTTAGGGGGCATAAATACAATACCCAAATATCTGGATTCCATATTAGTTTAAAGACACCTACCACTAGAATCTTTAAGTTTGGTGGCCTCTCCCCGCCAGATGTCTAGGTCAGACCTTCGCAGTTCCCTGGAGACTAAAGAATAGAACTCCAGGGTGGGACCTAGACCAGTTCCTACCTGAAACAATATAAATAACACACTATTACTAGAGAGTAGAACTCCAGGGTGGGACCCAGACCAGTTCCTACCTGAAACAATATAAATACCAAACTATTAAATTTTATTTTTAGTTAAGTTTTAAGTGATAAGAATCACATACTTTGAAGCAAAAAATTCTGAATCCTTATACATGATAGACAAACATATAACCATAGAATTAGAGAAACTACTTCTATGATATAACCAAGAACAGCAGCCAAGAGAAAGTGTGATCACTGCCTATTATGCTGAAGTGACTCTTAGCCCAACTTTACCTCGTTTTCATACTGTATTTCCAGCAGTGCTTTACTATTGCCCATTTCTTCCATCACCTTCTCTGCTTGCTTCAAGAGATCATCACGAGAGACAACACGCTGGAGAGAAAAGTGAGAATCGCATTATCTTGTATCAAATACGAATATTTAGGATCATATTATTATTTTCATTTAAATGAGCTTCAAGGCCTTCTCCTCATGCTTACTGTGACTTAAGCATTAACCCTTTCTCAAATGCCAGTAAAATTGAAGCTGGGCCAGTGAAAATTTGTAGTTACAGATAACTATTCCTAGATTCTGGAGTTCCTAGAGCCATTGGGCCAGGTTTCTTGCCTGAACAGATTGCTCAGTATTTGACAAAGATCTATTATGTGAAAATCTTATCAGAATCTACACTATTCCCACTGCCCTTTAAGACTACAACTGACAATCACTTACTTTCCTCCTGTCTAATCTAGGTGCCACTCTCTCACTGGTGTCATTGTTTGCAGCGTCCTGAGTGGCGTCTTGCAGGCGCATCATGGCACGATCACGATCAAACGCCGTTGCATAGAATAACATCTGCCTCGTATCAAAGGGGAAGAGGAAAGGGCTGGAGAGAGTGAAGTATAGAAAAATACAGTAGGAGAGCTGGTGTAATGCCGAAAATTGCTTTTTCTCCCTTTCTCACCATCGAAGTCATAACGCACATGCAATGTCTACCAAATACACGTCTCTTTCTCTCTCTTTATCTTATGCCAACAAAATTTCAGTGGTACAATAAAATCCTAAGTTGGCAAAAATCTCACTCACCATGCTGCAGCAATCTCAGGCAGCCACTGGGGGAGGTTTCCTGTCATTATTACTAGAGGGTCCTGTAGCTGGCGGTTGGCCTTGGCTATCAGTTTACTACTGGAGAACTCCAGACTGGACACTAGGGGATCATAACTGCTGGTCTGATAGGAATATCAATCATAATAATTATTATAACCACCACATTGGTACAAGGTAGTGAAAGATTAACTTTTACTGAGTAAAAATGAAAATCAGTAGAAGTATACTTCCCTGCTGGGATCTGATTAAATGTATAAGCACTTAGAGCTGAAATATGTTATTAGTAACAGCTTATATTAAAATGATGAGGATTCAAAGTAAGTCCGACCTTCAGGGCCAGAAAATTTTTTCAAGTTACACAAATACTGAATGTACAAAGTATCCATTCCCAAAGATCTGTTATTCTAAAGAGACAAAGTCATGTGGATTTTGTTTTGTGCAGTTGCGTGCCTATGCATGCGTGCCTGCCACATGACACACTATACCTCATAGAGCGCCCCCCAATAAATATTGATGGCGTGTAGCACTCTGAGCAGGGCCAGCACCTCCAGGGACGGGTCCTGGACCAGCACACTGTCTGGGAGGCTGGGGGACAGGTATCTATCCAGGGGTAACACTACAGGAGGACACTGACCACCTGGAACACAAATACATATACTGTACAGCTATTTGGTCCAAAATTACTATTACACTCTGAATCATCACAGATGCTGGAATCCTGGAGAGTTTATCACTTATTTGCATTCATCAATCTGACAATACTGAACAAATATCTTTTACTATCAATGGCTTAAATTATCTTATTGAATAGAGGGAGGGAGCAAGTCATTTCCATTCACTCACCAAGCCACAGGTCATCTCCCTTCTTCCCCTTGGGCGAGGCCTTGTGACTCTTCCCCTCTGCCTTGGTTTTCTTTGGACTAGTAGGCTGAGATGCATTGGTGTCCTCTTCTGGCGCTGGCCTGTACCTGGATAACACAGAACATACAGTGGTCAAATACTGTTTTATATAAACATCTACACTTCACTTCCTCAAATTCCAAGTGTCTGCATAGACAGATGCAAGGGCAGCATTCTACAATTCCCCTCACCTGTTAAATTTAATAGCTCCTGCTTCTTTAAAGTAAAGAATCAAAGATTATGAAGCCAACAGGTTCTCAGGTCTGGCTAAGCAACACATTGTAAAACCAGTTAAAACTGTCAGGATGTTTCTCAGGTGTTTTCTTTAAAGTTAGCTTCTTACAAGGTTCTGGCCTTTTAGATGTAAGTGTGAAAGCCACAAACCAAACACCTACCATATTGTATGTGTCTGCACCCATATGCCAGCGTGTCCAAAAGGATTTTCTGTGTCAGTGTCCGTCTCACTGCCGTCCCTTCCTTCCAGTGATCCATACTGTTTAATAGCCTGGTACACGGTCCAGTTATAGGGCAGTACCCGGTCTCCCATCAGGAACTCCAGCTTGTGTCTGCCAGTGCCTTGGGTTAAAAACACTGCCGCCTGGAATACAGAACACATTACATATATTATAAGGTAGAACCTGAAGAACATTGAAAGTTACCTGCTGCAAAAAGTTTCTAAAATTTTTCACATGTGAGAGGTTTTCCTTACCCTGGTGTCATCTAAGTCGTCATCAGAGTTCTCATCATCACTGTTTTCGTCATCAGCATCCTGTAATAATGAAATAAATGATCTGAACAAGTGTGATTTATCTCGCTTATTCAAATTAAGGTATAAATTGAGTAAATATTTATATTATTTCCATTCATTTGTCTGTTATACTAAGTGTTTAAATGGGCTCTATTAACTTTGCCATTTTCCAGTGTAACACTGTGTTAACAATGAGTTAGATGTAACAGTGTGTCAGCAGCTCCCCTTACAGGTCTAATCCTCCCATAGCCCCTCATGACTAGATATCTCTCTATTGCCTGTACTAGCGCCAGGGGGTCAATCTTCACAGGACCACCACGCCACTGGCGCAGGTTGGTGCAGGCTGGATGGCGAACTAGGTTACACTAGAATCAGAATAACAGCCATGAAATGAAAACCAGAACCAAGAACAATTAGAACGTCTTATAAATAGGTGTTTACAATGTATATACACAATACAGAATTCTTTCAAAAATATATAGATTTATTACCTTAAGGACAATTCAAAGTGTTTACTAAAAATAAACATGTTAGATTACATTCAAAAAAATATTTTTGCATACAAATTTCTGATACAACAGAACATTGACTTAATAGTTAATCCAAATACTTGAACCATTAAAGGAGGCAAGGGGGGGGGGGGATTTTTTTTTTTTTTTTTTTTTTTTTGCAACAAACACTGCACATACCTTGAGCTGGTGAGTATTGAAGAATTTGATAGCACTGGATCCTCTGCTGTTGCCAGTACCTCCTCCAGGGAGGTCATGAACTTTGACCTGGAACTACAACAACAACCAAGGTTAAATAAATAATTTGGCCTTGAACCTAAAACATTATAACAGCTCTAGCACACCTTTTTCTTAAGCTAATCAACAAAACAGCCAAATCTAGAAGAATGATTTGACCTTGTAGCAAAATATGTCATGATTTAGGCACTCGCCTTTCTTTACCTTATCAACAAGAACAGCCAAATTTAAATTAATGGTCGACCTTTGTACTGTTTTTTTGCACTCATCTTTTTTTCCAACAACCTTTTTACAGTAATTGATTTCTTAATAAATTCCATTAAAGACGGTAGAATCAACTTCACCTACCTGCTCTAGCTGGTGTAGGCAGCCCACTAACTTGCTGATCAGAGGAGAGAAGGGAGGGTTTTCTGAGAACTCAACCTGGGAGACAGTGGTGACATCTGGAGGCTGGAATAAAGCAACACGGGGCTTGTTTATGTGATAGAAAAGTTTCAGTCCAATCTATTGGGTATTCTGTTCATATATCTCAACCAAGGAGATGCTACATATGAAAGTATGAATATTTAGAAAATGAGTTTCTTTCAGGATTACGAACTTCAAGGTTAAATCACTGATTCAAATGTACTTACTGGACAGTTGAGGAAGACGTGTAGAAATCTCCTAATCTTCACTTCCCTGGACACCACTCCATGTGCCAAGGAGATATACTTGAGCAGCTTGCCCACAAACCCACTGTGGATGATCTCAAAGGGGGACACATCGCTGTCCTTCATGATAGTAGATAGCACCTGTAGACACTCCAGACCTGCATCCTCCTCCTGGGAATACAGTCAAACAAAGTGATAGACATAACATATCTACTGGGAATTGCCTATTAATCTGATACTGGAACTGACATTATCAACTCATGGATGTTGACATTAGACCAGGTGCCCAGTCCATCCAGGTCATTTACCTAGTGAAAGGTCAAAAGCTGAGACCACTAAGTTGACCAGCTGCTAATGTAAGTTCCAGTATCAGAGTTATACATAATTTTCATTCCAGTTCTACTGGATGACTAAAAACATTCATTCATATATCTATCAACTGTTTAACAAGTTGTTTACAATAGGAGTACAACTAAACACAAGGAAAATAGGTCGTAGTTATGTACAGAACACCACTAAAAGTTTTGTAGAGTTGGCAACTGAACTTGATATTCAACAGACTGGTTGATAACACCACTTTCTCCTTATTCACCCCTAACAGCTCCTTTGGACTAGATCTAATTTGGTGATCTAATTTGGGTGATCTAATTTTCAAGGACATGTTCATGGAAACAGAAATAATTGAGGTTTTTATTTCAATCATAGGAAAGTTGAGTTCACAAGTTTTCCTTTAAGATGAAATTCTGGGGTTCTTTTTTTCTGGCCTTTTTACCTTACCAGATTAGCTAGCTGTTCTGTGGCCACTGACAACCTTTTCAGTATATCCATGGCTGGATGACTGCTACCCTGAGTCTCATCACTGAAGTACTGCTCTATGAAACGGGCAGCTAGAATGAAGTAAATCAACAAATGAACAAATGACCTAAGTGAAACAGGGTGTAAAATAGGCTGTTAATAGGAGTAGGTAGCTGAAACAAGAAATGAACTGTGGCAAAATTGGGGCTTTCTAATTCACTGCAGGTAACATGCCGCTTTCTATTTTCTTAGTTACTGTAGTAGCACATGAACAATGTCAGATATTCAGACAACTCTGCATCTCATACTCCTGGCTTTAAAATCCCCACAGAACTCCTGTATTAATTATGAAGGTTCCAGTCACCTTGTTCTCTGATCCAGGTCTTCACCTTCTCCCTGTTGGACACCAGGTTAGGGTTGCTGGTGGACTTCACTATGAAGGTTTCCTGCTGGTGGACAATGATCTTAAATTTAGAGGAAATGTGCAGTAACACTACCCAAAGCTTTAAGTTCAATGCTTGCCAACTCTTATTAAAAATCTCTACTTATTTGTACTTATCAGACTGTGACCTTAAGCCAGGTTTATAGATGAAGTTTACTGCATCAACCACAAATAAAAGCACATGTCACGATGTCATGGTTTCACAGAATGGAATAGCATGCAATTTAAAGACTAACATGTTGTTCAAGTTAATATCAGGCAATCCAGTAAGAATGGAAATTTGAAAATGAAAAATCTGGCCTACAACAGTGCGTAACTTGGACTAAGTGATTAACACATTTTAAAGCTCATTGCAATATTTCTTGATGCGATTCTTGATAATATTCCAAAGAATACAAAGTAAAATCAGATCTAAGAAGCACAAATCAACTTAAAGTGGAATTCTTACCCTTGTAGAGACAGGTCTCTCTGGGGTGGCACTGGTGCTGGCCCTCCCCCACCTGGCTGGGTTCAGGTTGGCTAAAAAGGAACTCTTTGGTGTGGCTCCTCCAGACTTGCTGGTGTCTTTTCCTACAATAATTTGGAACAATTTAAACCTTAAATTCAAGTACCACATCCTTTATTTACTTGACTTTGACCCATGGAAAAAGCTCAAGTCTGAATAGAAATGCAGTATCAAGCTGTGCACACATTTGGCAGTAAAAGAATGACACACACTTTCCTGACTCTCTTTACCTGTTTTTCCTCTACTGGATGGAGTGGGTCTGTTATTACTGCCCCCTCCTCCTCCACCTCCCAGTCTGGCAAACACAGTTTCCATAGCACTTGGACTTTCATCTGTCTTCCCACTACTGCTGCTGCGGGAACTACGTGATGACCGCTTTGGGGGCTTCTTTCTCTTTAACACATCACTCAGCCTCCTGCAATGACAAAGCAGACAAGTTCTTCTTACACTGATTTAAAGCATTAGAAAGGAAATCTTGTTGATTTTAACTATTAGCTACAAACCGAGTCACAGATGCTCCTACCCGACTTTTTTTAATTGGTCTAAGCATTTTGGAGTCATTTTAATATATATATTTTTTTATTTCTTTAAGGATGTTACCACTGATAATTTAGAGAGAGGCAGGAAGATAAAAGCAACACTGACATACGAGGACCTTTCCCCAAACAACCCTCCTAAAGTATAAATTTGTGTAGAAGCAAGAAGCAACAAAAGAGATAAGAAGACAAGAAAGACATTTTATCTTGATAAAATGTACAGAAATATCATCAATAACACAGGGTGTATTTTCAGTCAGTTCACTTACATCTGTGATGACCCAGGACTCCTATCCAATGCCGCCTCTGGCGTAGCAGCAGTGGCTCCCCCTGCCACAGTGTTTGGTGTGGTGGAGTTATTATCCAGGTCCACCTTCTCCAGACTGCTGCCCAGGCTGCTGCTGACACTGGTGGCGGCTGCCCTCAGTTCCTCCCTGGAGGTCTGGGACACTGGGGTGCTGGCGGAATCTGTGGACTTCTGGGGGGAGGGCTCCCAGTTGGCAGGGTCCGCCAGTCTCTTCACTTGATGCATTACGCCTAATATTTATAGGTTAACAAACTGTTATGAATAATAGACAAAGAAATGTGTGTGTGTGTGTGTGTGTGTGTTTGTGCGCGTGCGCACTTTAGAGTGCTTGTTTGTTTCTAATATACGAACTTACTCAAAGGGGGAAGAGTGGGAGACAGCAGAACACAAGTAATTATCAGAATATTTTCAGGGATTCTGAGATATCAAACTATCAACAGCTGTTAGTTATTATGTGCATAAAATTCCCTTTTTTTCACTCAAAATTCAGCAAACAAGGTAGGAAAATCTCTCTTAATAAAACACCTAGTACATCCCCCCTTTGTCCACATTCATGGCTACTCACCCTCTCTCCTAAAATAAATGCCAAATATATTAGCCAGCTTCTGCATCAGGATTTCAGCCATCTGCATGGCTCCCACCACCACTTTGAGGTCCTGGGACGCCAACATGGCGGCAATATGACTGAAACAATAACAATACAAGTAGTACATTGTTTTTTAATTTCTTCTTTTTCATATCAACTGTACCATTCACCTACTCTGTGTTAGAACACAATGTAGAGAACTGCGTGGGGTTTACTCCATTTCAGTAGCTTAAATGTACCAACCAAAATAGATCTGGTTAATTGGTTACGTTAATCTAAGGGGTTCCATTTAGGCGACTCCTTTACGTTACAGCCAGACTATCAAGAAACTGGTCTTATTCTACATATTATATATATAGACCAGCAACAGTAAATAGGAGACTAAAATATCAACAAATGAGTCTGTTAATGAATATTTCATGGGATACAAGCTACCTTGACACAGCATGGTTCTGAAGGACATCTTTGAGCAATTCTGGAGTGGCGTAGTACACCATTCTAAGGATGGCCTGCAGGCACTTGTGGCGTACAGCTGGACCAGCCTGGAATACATACATATACATACTGGATACACAAGACACATCTCAAATTCAGTAATTAATATCAGTAACAAGGTGATACTCTCCATGCTGTTAAATATTTACCCCCCCCCCCCCCCTCTTCCTTACTCTCCCTGTCAAGCAGAAAATCTGCCACAGCAATGCCGAAATACTGACGCTAAAACACTGATGCCACTAAATGATCAAATAAATTTTTTGAATAACTGAAACTAAGGATGTTTAAAAACTGGTGCTGAATACAACTGTTAAGCCCAATCCTTTACTGCTCTGTCAGATACACACTTAGATATATACATTTTAAACTGTACTTACAGATGAGCTGTAGACTTCGTACAGCACTGCAAACAAGGCCTTGATGAATGAGGAGGCAAGATCCATGTCCTCCTTTAGGATCTCTGCTCGCGAATCACTCCGAACCACGCCACAGTTGTTGCTGGCTGCAATGAAAAAAATTTCACGTTATGATAACAGAGGTCCAAATCTACAACTTAGAGAAAATGCACTCACTAAAGCACACTGTTCACAAACAATGCTTACCTGCGGCAGAGCCGTGAGCTGCAAGTGGATTCAGTTTTCGCTGTACTGGGCGTGAAGTCCCCGTGTCTTCGTTGATCTGCTGCATCGAGTTGAAATCTATGGAGTAGTTCCTACCCATAGTGGACAGGCTGACCTCATCTTCCCCGGACTGATGGGAGGCCTAGAATAGAATGTTATACAAGATTTTATTCAGTACAACAAGACAGCAAAGCAGGACCAAAGAACAAAAACATTAAATTAAATGTCTTAGGGTCCTCAACAATTTTGTTGGTACTACCTAAATTCTACTGAATTCACTGTAAAAATTGACATGCATCTCACTGCTTTATATTCTTTTGTTTCTCTACTGAATAGTGTAGGTCTATAATTGCTTCCTACTTCACCAAGTCTTACAAACAAAACCAAAATGACCAGCCTGCAAAACCCCTCGGCACCTGTGCCTAGATCCCCTTACCTCTATAATTCTGCTGTCTATCAGGGAGTAGGGATGCCTTATCCCATCCACACCTGTGCCTAGATTCCTTACCTCTATAATTCTGCTGTCTATCAGGGAGTAAGGGTGCCATATCCCTCTGTCGTCCCTCCACTGCCATATGACGGCGTCTGTATTCGTTGTGCAGCCTTTCCTCAGCAGGGAGTCCACAGAAAACACGCCATCATTCGGTAAGCTGGGCATCAGCTCCCTGGAATGTCAGTTATATATTATAACATACAATAACATATTAAGGAAATGGCTTCAGCTGATTTCATCATGTTGGTATCAAATGGCCCCCACACCAGCATCAGTATAATATTCACTTAGTCCTTACACCAAACTGAACTTTATGTAAGAGTAATATTTATGAGAAGTACATACCTTTTTCCTCAATTCTAGATGCTGGAAGAAATTAATTTGTAATACAGCAACAACCTAATTACTGGACTTAATTGTCCATTTTTTTTCCCCATAAAAACAACTCACCCAATGAGACAGACTATTTCATATAGTTCCTGTGGTGTTCTTGTGACCAACTGCAATATAAGAAATAACATGCCAACTAGAAAATATGTTATATTTACAAAAGGAGAGAGTATTATTTTCCCAGACATAGGAAGAAAGAACAAGTCAGTTATTGACAGCCATAAGATAACATAACATGGCCAAAATGGGTTGTCAGTCCCCCCACCCCTCTGTTGTAGGAAGAAATTATTTTAGACTAATTGTAAATACAGAAATATTGCAAACAAGAGCATAAGACACAGCCAATGACACTATTTGCTGAAAACAGCCAAAACTCACCTCTACTCCCTGTGAGGCAGTCTCCGAAGTGCCCACCAGTAAGTAACATAAGGTATCAGCAATATCTGGAAAGTAGAGGAATGGACACTAAGACAAATACTCTCAACCAAATTATGGGCTTGCATACTAACTAGAGTTCAGAATACCTTGCAGGACTGGTGTGGCATACTTAGCCAAGCAATGGGCTCGCAAAAATTATGTATAGTTTATAGGACAAATGGGCTGCAGACTTACTAGATTTGAGCAAGACCACGGCCAGGTCAGGGCAGGAGGCACACATCACTGCCAGCATCCTCAGCACTGTCACAAATGTCCCTGTGTTCACCACTGGGGGAGTGACCACCAACTGAAATAGATACAATGTATCCCCCATTATAAGTGTAAATCCTTATCATATAACTCAAAACCACTCATAGAAGTTTAATGGTATAAGTGTAAATCCTTATCATATAACTCAAAACCACTCGTAGAAGTTTAATGGTTTAGAAATTGTAACAATAATTTTGTTAAGGATGAAAGGCATGTAAAAAAATACGAACCAAAGATTACCTCCAAAATTCGAGCTCTAAATAGCTAACCAAACTTCTTAGTGCCCAATGGCATTGAACATTGAGGAAAAAGCATCTCAAATGCAATTGCAATCCACTTTAAGTGTCTCATGCTAAATAATTCATCCCCTATGCCTTCAATCCAGGCCTTACCAGCTGTAGTATGTTAGTCAGCAGTCCATGTGCTGATATTTCTTTAAGTATCCTCTCATCTGTCTGGAAGTTATCCACCAGGCGACTAAAGCACAGGCACACACTCTCCACTGACTTCTTGTCCTGATTACAGGGAAAAAAGACAGAGAACAAGTGATTAATGTGACAATTTCATACCAATGTCCCCAATTTTTAAATCAGACAAACTGGCAGTGTACATCCTCTCAGCCAATTTACTGTTCAGGTGGCAAAAGTTTTCCTAATGTACAGCAGTGAATTGCAATGAGAAATTGAGATATCTGATCTTTTCAATATCTCTTATTTATTGCCCCTCCATACACTGATGAAAGTAGATGTCTTCAGCTTCCTGAAGAGGGAATATCTAACATGATAAGTTTGTCTAGTATGGAGTGCAAGGCCAGTGTTCAAGTCACAGACTGCAAAACATAGTTTCACTATACTTACATGATGACTCAGCCTGCCACTGAGCAGGGGCAGAGAATCCCTAACATAGTGGAATTCATCAGAGTTCATGTTCTGGCAGCAGTTGGCAGTGATGGCCAGTGCACACCTCTGTGCTGTGATGGAGAAGAAGTCCAAGAACATCAGGCAGGCAGCTATTCCTCCCTACAATAATAATGACACTTTAGGAGGCTTAAATGTTTGGTGAGAATTTTTCTTTAACCAATAAATTAAACTAGGTGCATTACGTAAGAACAATGAGAGTGCCTTTGGCTTCAACTTGTTTCCACAGACTGCCTTCAGTAATTCATTAAATTTACGTTTTCCATACCAGTAAATTTCTCATATGACCTAATTTTCATGTGAAATCTTAGATACTGAAACCTTCATCATGTGAAACCTTAATAACTATTTCTCCATAAATAGTATATTCTCACCGCCTGCAGAATACTCTTGCTGTGCCTCCTTGACAACATCTCCAGGGCCGTGAGCGCCTGCTCTGCCACGTCCATGCACTGAATGACCTGCAGCTTCTCCAGGAAGACCGGCACTGCATCCACCACCACCGCAGAGGAGCGTGGCAGTGCCTCCATCATGTATGTGAGAGCACGGCAGGAATTGTTCATGATGTCAAAGTTGTGGTCCATCTGCAGTAAGGTGATCAGGGCCGGGACCACTTGTTTGACAGGGAAGCCAGCCAGGGTGTCTTCATTGCCCATCACCAGTAACTAGAAACAACACAGATATATATGGCTGTTTTCACAACAGCGGATCAATATGGCCGACCCACCTGAATGCTACGTTGCGTAATCCCGCAGGAAATTTATTCCGTGTCTATTAGGAGATTGTATAACAAGCTTTTATGGAGTCACCATATTTCAAAACTATCATCAGGCCTGTAAACCAATAACACATTTTATACTGCCACAGAATTTTAGCTCACTAGTAAAGAAATAACTAATTTAAAGGCAGAATTCTACCTAAAACTGGAATTGCCCATACCTGACACATTTCTATGGCAGCAGTTAACTGTTGTCCTTCATCTCCCACGGCTTGTAGTCCCTGCAGCAAATGCTGGGCTTTGGTGACTGGTAGGGGAGAAAATGAAGCAGGTCAGATAGAGAAGTTTTATACAAGTGAATTCAGTATTTAAACTGAAATTTTATCACAACTGTAATTGGCGTTATCAAAGAGAAATCCTATCTCATTGCTATTTATAATCATAGATACTTATTCCAAATGTCTACCAAGTTCTCCCTCTCTCGCTCTCCTTCAGTGAAATACTCTCTCTCTCTCTCTCTCTCTCACACTCACACTCACACACACACACACACACACACACACACACACTTACTTGTTCCTCCACTCATGGAGCGGTGTAGCAGCTGGTGCATTCTGGAGCCTAGAGCACCAAACAAGTGAGGGGGCAGCCCCCTGGCCTCCAGCAGGGCCTGCAGCCTGCCCATGTCTGCCTCCTCTGACTCACTCTCTGATGTGGCCATTGCTGAGGCTCCCAGGGCAGAACTGGAGGCTGAAAACAAATACAGAGATGGAGGGTTCCATACATAAATAGATAAATTAATATTGAGAAGTATACGTACAAGTATGCATAAGTATATTTTCAATTCTCGTGATTAGGACCCCTCATATATTATACTTCATTCATTCACCACTTGAAATATTGAAACTATCAACAGTGACGAAGAAATGAAAATGAAACTAATCACAAGAAGTGAACATTTGGTGGTTTTTCCTGCACTAACTACTGATTATCAAGATATTTAGTCTTGCTAAGATGAAATATTTGATAGTTTGACCTCAAAGTTCAGAGCATTGAAGTGCTGCAGGATGAACTTGTACAGGGGGCACAAATAAAAATATGAACCTAACTTTTGGCCAGAAAAGATCCACTCTCAATCAAAACCTGACCTAGGTTTTATGTCATTTCTTAAGGTGGGAGAACTAAAGGGTTAAAAAGGTCCATTTTTCAGAAAATGAAAGCCCCCTTTGGAATTGTTGGTTATGGGCCTGTCTTAATTACTTGATATTTAAATTCATATTTGCATGAGGGGTTCAAACCAACAAAATAGAAGCCTACCCTGCAATCCTGATGCCCCTGGTGCAGCCTCATCTGTAGGACCCAGGGGGGCTGTTCCTGATGATTCCCCATTCTGGTCGGCCATTGCTGTCTGTGGTTTCGACGTCCCTCCACTTCCACCTTGACCAGTACTGCTGGTTGGTGCACCGGTGGCTCCCTCTCGCTTGGTCACTGACGAGGAACGTCGATTACTGAAATAAGCGTGAAATGTATGAAGAAAAGAGACAAAATCAGTCTTTTTTAAGCATCCTTAAGTTGCAAGTGCTGAGCATGCAGCTTTACATGAAGGGCTGTGGGAATAAATACAACCAAAAATCCAGATCTCTGCAAAATGGGTATTAATATCAAAGCAATAAGTTTTTAAATGCAGTTTATCATGCCTACTTCAGCAACGAATAACTGCTTTCTGTTATAATAGAGCTTAACTTGATAGGCAAATTCATATCTACAGTCAACTTCTCATAACTTTACAAAGAATGTTTTACGTAAGTAGCTACACGTACAGAAAAGTTAGCAAAAAGTTTATGGCAGATAACTCACTTGCTACTGGCACACGAACCCGTCTTTTTAGTGCGTGTGCTCCGCCTCAAGCTGGGAAGCTTGGACGGGGACTTCTGTAGTTTGTTTTTCTTCTCTCCTGCAGCAAGTCCTTTATTACTGCCTCTGGCAGCTTTAAAAGCCGTGGAATTAGTCCCACTGCTGTTCTTATTATCAGTATTGGAGTTCTTAGAACTGATGTTTTTCTTCTTCCTAGTTGGACAAACACTAACCCCCTTCTGTGAACTATTCTTCCTAGTAGGGCTCTTACTTCCTGATCTCTGTTTAGATGTGCTGGGGTTGTTGCTTTTCTGGTGCTTCTTATTGTCAATTTTGGGCCTTTTCTCTGCTGAGGGCTCGTTTTTACTTTTCCTTTGAACCGCTGACGATGCAGTCGTTGTTGACAAAGCACTTTTACTGCAACTGTTGCTACTTCTGTTCACAGACTCGGCACTCGCAGTTGCTGAGTGCAGCTCCTGTGACAATGCCCCCGATGCTTGTCTCTTCCTATTACTAGCCTTCCCTGGGTTCAATAAGCTGTCCACCCCAGTTGCAGGCAATGGGATATCCTTTGGTGTTAGAGCTGGGGAGTCACTACTGCCCAGTGCTTTCTGACCACTACTCTGAGTGTTCTTTGTATTACGTGTGCTCCTCCTAAGAGGAGGCAGGCCTTCACTGAGGGTGGCTGAGGGATTAGATCTCAGTGCCCTGCCTGAGGATGAAGACCCCAAAGAAGCCTGGCTTTGACTCTGTCCTGCACCAAAGTTGGAACTTTCACTGGCACTAGAACACGACCTTCGACCTGTTCTTCCTCCCCCTCCTCCTCCTCCAAAATTTCCAAACACTGAACTAGCACTTGATGATCCCGAGCTGAAGCGAGTTTGTCTCTTGGCGGGTTGGAGTTGAGATAAGTCGTTAAGGTTTTCAGCCCTCACAGCAAAACTGTCGGACTTGTCAGAAAAAGAACTATTTCTAGATCGCGTCGAGGATTTTCTGACTGTTCTTCCCGAAGCTAAGGCTTTTCCTTTGATCGATAATCCGTTTGTAAGCTCAGCCTCCGACACTATAGCTTGTGTAGTGTACGTAAAACCGCTATTGCTAGTGTTCAGTTTGGGTTTCCCCTTATTAACAGCAGCCTTACTGTCTGAACTTAGATTGCAGGCTGACTTCTGCTGGTTTGGAACAGTACTGAGGTCCTCAGTTGAACCTTTCTTTATTTTGTGCCTGGTCAGGGCAGCCTCTTCTACCTGTGTGCTGCCTTTCCTCTTCAATGTCTTCTTCCCAGGCAAGTTCTGCTTGACTGACGAACCTTTTTCTAATGCTAGGTTAAAAGAGTTAAAATCGGCCTTGGTGGCTTTGCCCGTAGATCTGAAAAAAAGAAGAAAAAAATGGAGATAGAGACAATAAGATTGAGAGGTGATAATTTGCTTAATTTTCCAAAAAACAGAGAGCATCTCTTAGGGACCATTCCCACAGATTTTTGGATCTATCTATCTATCTCCCTGGGGAGTCTCACTAAATTGCGATCAACTTAAACAGGCTGAAATGTCTGTCACGCCTAGTAAAGCTGTTAGGGGGTAATTATCTTTACCCTAGCTGATACGGTAGGTGTGACAGATATTCAAGCCTCTTGAGCTGATAGCAATTTAGCGTGAACCCCCAGGGAGTTAGGTCGATCCAGATGGATCGATCTAAGTATGGGAACCCAGTCTTATACATTTTACCCAAGTTTCCACAGGGAGAAAATTCAGATTTTCAACAGTGACAACAACAATAGTCTCTTGATAGCCTTAGGCACACCAGTAGATCTGTGTATGTCATTTAATTGGTTTATACACATTTTATCTATCGACTCAATTTAAACTGTTCCAATATCACACTTGCTATAATGTTAAAATACAAAAGACATTCTTTTCAAACCCAAGTGCCAATCATTTAATCGCATTATGGGTTTCAATATTCATAAACACAGTGCAATTCAACAAAGATAAATGCCAATCAATGAGAGTCACAATATTGCTACAGCCTTTTATACATCTACCCTTTCACAGTAATAACTACATACAGCAAACTACACTTCCACAGCAGTATATCACAGGCATCACAATTCCTCAAAGTACAGACTTATCAAGAGATATGCTGTGGCCAAATGATCTGATCTGACATTAGTCTTCTTGAATCAGAACATAAATACCAAAGTTCTATTTTTTTCATAACACTGTAAGGCCTGTATATCAACACAGTGTGCTAAAGACGCATATATTCTAATCTACTGATCATAATGACTATTCTCTGTCCTTTTTGATGACTCAACAAAAGATCTATTCCTCACTAAATAAGCAAGTGTACAGTATACTCCGTCTTTCAGACTTACTGAAAAGAGAATTATTCTAAAACGTGTTTATAATACTACAACATAAATACGAATAATACATAAAAAGAGGTTAATCTTTCTTTTCATATTAAACCCTTGACGTAATTGCACACATAACAAGTTAGAAATGGTTTCATAAGCATGACCAAAGCAGAGCCATACATGTACACCAAACGTGAAGACTTGATTAATAAATAAATGTTCTACATACTGCTCAAGTGCCTCATTTCTCTTCATAAAATGTATAATCGACACCTGCTCCCATTACAAGAAAACTGCACACAAGTAATCACATAACGCCTTCCATTCTACACCAAGGTGCTTACAATTCTGTTTGTGTGTCAAGGTTATCTTTTGGTATCAGATACAAAATTTATCTATGTCATGTTTTGCAGGGTCAGACAAGAGGCCTATGCCATGACTATGTTATGGTGCATTCCATCAAATTTAAAAAAGTTTTTGAACATCTTAATTTTTTGGGAGCTATATTACCCCCCCCCCCCACCCCCACACACACACACACACACACACAAATTGTTGTAGGGATTATAAAAGGATTTTGGAGATAAAGGGTGCTTTCCCAGAGATTTAGATCGATCTAAAGATTAAGTTTTAGATCGACCTAACTCCCTGGGGGTTCACACTAAATTGCAGTCAGCCGAGCAGGCACCATCGTTAATTACCCCCTTACAGCTTTCAGTAGGCGGGATAGACGCTTAAGCCGGCCAAGCTGACAGTAATCTAGTGAGACTCCCCACAGGGATAGATCAATCTAAATTCTATGGAAATGGGGTGAAAGTCTGCCCTAGAAGAAAGGAAAACACCTTTGTTAACAATAGTGTGAATGCTACTTCACATATATACCTAACTGGTGAAGACATCCATACACAATATGGTATGTGGCCATCATTCCTTCCTAGAAGTGTCTCCAACTTTTTGAATCCAGCTAATTTAGACTTCAAGGGAAAAAAAAGAATGTATAAAGCATCCATAAATCAAAACTTCCTGAATAATCAGAAACTTAATGTATACACGGGGAACTCCTTTTCTTTGCAGTAATGATTGCAAAACCTGCATGTCACGGTGCCTGGTATTAATAAAATAGACAGCAAACAGTAAACATGTATGGGATAATTTCACCCGACACACCTATACACTCTATTAACTACTTTACAGAAATAGAAACTGACCTCATCATACTATGGGGTAACCTTGAGTCTACCTGGTACTTAGCATTACCTTGCCTTTGTAATCTTCTGGTTTTTAAAATACAGACAATAAAACACACACAAAAATTCCCTTTTTTAGACAAGAGAAGTCCTGTTTTCCTGGCAGTAGCACTTAAAGCCTGTATGTTGCTCTAAGCGATTTAAATACAGTAGCAGTCTAGAAAATTTATGGTTGAAATGATGTCCTACCCTGCCACACCTACATACGTTTATCAACACTAAAAAAATAAAGATGCAACACCAACCTAATTACACCACCACCACACCAGAGTTCACAATAAAATCACCATATTGCCTAAAGTAATCTTGTAGGGATAGCGCCTAATCAGCAGTCAACATTGAAATAATCACAGATCACCAGCTGACATTTTCTATTTGAGAAGGTGAGGGGCACAGGGAGCAGACACTCCCCCTTCCATGGAACAGACGTCCCTTTAAACTTCAGTGTCTACAGGCACAGGCCCTTCATTGCCCCCTTGCTGTACAATGTCACCTTTTTTATCCAGAGAAGAAAAGGGAGATGGCAAGACTATATCTAAAGCACTCGTGTCTTCACTCTACACTTGCAGAAATCAATAGCATGAAGGTGATATGCATAGGGCAATTCCTTTCTTCATTAGTCTACCATGTGACGCCATTTTGTTTTTTAAAAATAATATGTGAGCTACTTTCTATCTGGGATTACCATACCTTTCGCAGCATGTGCATGACCCTCATGATGTTAGATGAAGTGAGATGTCTATACCAATGTGTTTACTAATATTTTAAGCCATTACTACCACTTCATACAGCTACACACACATACAGTTAAATATCACCCAATCCTACCTTAGCTGAACTTAAAATGCATGCAGGTTAATTGAAGTCGGGGTAAAGGGGGGAAAAAACCCAAGATAATCCTCTTTCCCGAAAACAACATAACTGTGCGATCCAAATATTACTTTCACCTGAGCAGCAATTTGGCCTCAAGCTATTAACTGACATCCTTTTCTTTTTCACTTCCTTGAAATTTCATGCTATTCAAAGAACTTAAACTGCAACATTTCAATCAGTTCTTGTTTTTCACATCCAAGTTATTTTATTCCTATCGATGACAATAACAGCAAGCCTAAAATGACGCCTATCAATTTTCAAGATAAGCCATGAATAAATGAAGTCTATTTTGAACCTCAGACTACTCTCAAAAATAGCACCAAGACCGTAATCCAAACCAACATAATTTCTAAGCATGCAATCAGGGCTTAAAATACACTGCCACGGAGCAGTATTCTAGCTACTAATAAGCTTTTCAGCCACTCATTACCGGTAAACCACTTGACAGACAACTAGGTCATTTACTGTAAAATTTCACAGTGCAAAGAGAGCAAGCACCTGTTTTGTTGCTAAGGGAACACGTAAGAATGGTTTTTACCAATTTTTTTGTGTTAGTTTTCTTCCGGATAAAGAAGCTGCACATGATTTCTTTTGCCACAGTGTTTGGGAGGGTGTCTTGCAATCACTTATGAAAATGTGTCCCCACTTTTCACCATTGTGAGCAGTTCAGGATGCATTTACAATATTAACATGCACATATGGGTCATGAAGAACAGGTAACCAAAACATCAACTTCCTGATGTATGAACCAAAACATTATTTGATACTTTTACCAAAGACAGACATGCCATCCCAGCGCACAGGTCAATAACCTTTGAATGTAGACAAAATATATTTTTAAGTACACCCTACAGAGTTTATGTAACCTAAACCTAATTCTTCAGCACAGAGTTATTACTGTTTTTCATTCTGTATTTTTTTCAAGGACAGGTGACCAAGTCAACCCTGCAAGGTATTTCAAAGCAAAATCTAATGCCAAATACCCATGTCACAGTGTGTACTTAACAGTCCATTCCACAGCATGCACCTCAAGAATAGGTTCTGAAATTACTTGTTACCTCTGTCAAGAAGGTTGCATTTAAGCCTTAGTAGGTTAGCTACCTGATAGCCCAACTCAATAAGTTATAGACAGATTTTGATTGAAATTTCAGGTAATTAAGAAATGTGCCAACTTAGAATCAATAAAATAATGGTGCAGATCTATTAATAACAAAAAATGTACTCCCAGTGCTACTCTAGGTGGCAGTCAGTTCAGCATATACACACAGCACTCACCTCTGATTTTGTTCAGGTTGAAATGCCCCTGGCGCGGAACGCTTTGACCTTCTGCGAGACCCCCCAGGATGGAACTTAGGTTGGTCGGCCATAGGAGAGGTGCCGCACACACTGGCACATGCCAGATTCTACACGCTACGGAGCTGCTGGAATGTAGAAAGCAATGTGATGTAACACTCTGTATTATGTTGTCAGACATGGAGAAAAACTTTGGAGGGTACTGAAGGTCCTGAGGACCTGCACTACCTGTGCTACAAGAAATCTGCAGGAAATTTTGTATAGGTTGATGTTCACGTTTGGTTTATCTTTATGTATTGCATTTTCACATAAACCTTGCGAGTCCATAGGACCTGTATTATCAAAGATCTTGCCTATCCTCTGGCTTTTCTGGCAGTCATGAAAGGTCGGACCTGCAGTTTCCACATGTATGGACATGCTAAAATTGTCAGTCTACCCGTTTTTTTTTTTAGGTCCAGAAGTAAATTGTGCTTAGTCTATCCAAAACGGTAACAATTTTATGAGCTGCCATTTAGGATTACACAGTCAATCTGACAAAAAATTCCTCTGATCAGTCAAAATTTTTCATAACTGTGGGTCAGATTGTCAATATTAACCCATTCACACTACAGTTTCAAAAATGTGCATTTCTATAATTCAAANTGCCGACACGCTGATCAGACAGACTGCTACTATTAATAACTACAGTGAAGTTATTTATAGCAACTAATCAATATTCAGTAGTTTGAGCTAGGTGTGATTTTTTTTCAACTGAGAGGCATATCATACTATCTAGAAACGTCAAATTAGAGGCAGGAACAAAGAAGACTGGCGACTCATATTTTTGAAATCTTACTGAGTGTTAATATAGGTTCAAAATTACAGCTAGTGCTTTATAAAATTTCAACTTTTTTACTAGCCCAGTGCCACTTTAGGTGGGCAATTGCCTCCGGCTAGTGCTTAACGTCGCAGACTGTGGGTTTGGCAACGATGTTTGGCACTTTTCAGCGGTCGCCAAAACGGACCAGTACCCCTGACAGGTAGTCGCCCGGGACGTTTCTAAGTCGCATTGGCGAGTGGGCGACCGTCTGTTTCGACCCCTGCATGCGCAGCACAGGAAAACTTAAAATACCAACGAAAATTTGTAACGGCAAATGCAACTCAAAAGACAGTCCAGCATTCTTGGAAAGTATAAGATGGCAAAATAAGTTTATGTTTCCTAATGTTGTAGTGAGTGGTGACCTCCAAATACGTTTGGTGCAATTGCTTAAGTAATAAACAAACGTTCATAGATACCCGCACTTATCTGCACACATGCGCAGTAAGATCTGTACAGGTGTCGGTTCCGGTGTGGCATGATAGACCCATTCCGTGACAAAATCATTCTGCACATGCGCATTAAGGGTAGATTGCAAGAAGGCACCTCTGGTATGACGATGTCGTCCTAAGTAGGCCCTATGTTTGCACTGAACTATGATTTTTCAATTCATAATTCAGTGGTTTTCGTCATGAGAGAGTATGTGTTTGATAACCTTATAACTATATGAATGTTGGAAATGAGCTTTTGATCGTGACTGAACTGTTTTGCTCTGTGAGAAAAACGTGGTAGATCTAAGACTCGTAGTATAAATGTTTTCACTTTACAATGTTCTTTCAATTCAGAGTTAAGTAATTTTCGTTCAAAAGAAATTGTGTGTTTGATAATACTATTACTTTCTCTACGGTTTATTCACGACGACAGTTTCTTCACATGACACCTGTAAGTAATTCAAATCACTGAAGAAAATCCAGCTCGCTAGCAGGATTTTGAAAATCTGCTTAACGAAAATCCTTACGCGTTCAGACTACTACAGTTATTCGAATCGGGACCTAATTCGCTATTTATTCGAATAAATGACTGTAGTGTGAACGGGGTATGTTTTTTAAAAATTTAGCATGTCTTTTTTTGACATATAGTAATTTCTCCATAACTCTCTAATTATAACTTGAATTACTATGAAATCTTGTGGAACAATTTGTCTTCAATATCAACTGAAATTAATATTAACATTGCCTTATGAAAATCTTGTTAGTCTACTGTATATTTATTATTATCCGAAAGAAAACTTGCAAAGACACACAAACTTGTAACTCTAGCAACGAGCAGTAATCATATAATATTTCAAGATGTCATAGATTAATGAAAATCAATAATGTGTCTTTGCAAACTATCATACTCAGGTATTTTTTTAAAGTATACTTTCTGAGGCAATTTCTATCCGAAGATGTCATGCAAGTGCAATCAGTAGAATCAGCTTAAATAAATGCACCACACACTAGTTTACGACCCCCTTGCTTGTTTCAGGGGGTCTGTCAGACAATAAAGCCGATTCCACTTATTGCACTTTGGTGAGAATCTCTCACAGAACTGGACCAACCCACATAGTGCAATGTGTGAATCTGAATGCAGTCTTACTTAACAGGAATTTTATTATTTTCACCATATTGCCCATAACAAAGTTAACTTACTCACTTTTAAATATCACAATGTCCCTAGCTTTATAACCCCAACAAATCATTTTCATACAGCTAAGGCTGAAACTGCAGATTTTTTATATAATTAAGCACTCTGATTAAGTTTGGTATGGCACAGAGCCTAATGAGCAGAAGCTATGTTAATCAGTTCTCAATTTTACTTCTAGTATTGATCTCTTCCTAAAGAGAGCAATCTTACAAAGATATTTCACATGATAAACTGACTGCACAGCATTTATGTGACCCTGTTTTACATAGCAAGTAAA